ATTAAGATGAGGTTACACTGGAGTAGCAGAGGTCCCGAATCCAATATGACTGGTGTCCTTATAAAGTGACAGCCATGTGAAGACACGGAGAGACACAGGGAGAACACCATGTGAAGATGGAGGATTGGAGTGATGTGTCGCCGGTCCAGGGAATGACAAAGATGGATGGCAAACCACCAGAAGCTAGGAGGAGTCAAGGAAGGGTCCCCCTACAGGTTTTAGAGGGAGCATGACCCTGCAGATTTCTCCAGAATTGTAAGACGATAAATTTCTGTTTTAAGCCACCCAGTTTGTGGTACTTTGTCATAGCAGTCACAAGAAACAGATACAGACGTCTACAATTAGAATCTATGCACTCCACACCCCTAGGGCAGGAGGCTGCTTACCCGCTGGAAGTGGCCTAGTGGAAAAGCCAAAAGAGTTTTAAACAGGGAATTCTGACCGGTCCAGCCAGGAGTGCAATGACCTCTCAGGGCAAGACATAGCTGCAGCACCCTCGTCCTTTCACATGCCTCCAACTTTGCCCTGAGGACGAGCTGGCTGGGGCTGGCTCCTCGTTAACTTTGGCCCCCTTCTGCAACAAGCCCGCCTACCCTGCACCCCTCTAGCTCTGCCGCTACTCAACACTAGAGACCACAGGGATGCTGGGGAGAAAATGGAGCCTCAGAGGGCCCCAGGCTAAGCTTCTGGATCTGCTCTGGCAGGCCAAGGGACCTAGAGCACTAAATCCTGGGGACAAGCTGGGGCATGTTATTTGCACTCCAAATTCTGGGGGCCACCCAGGTCACACGTATGCCCCTCCCTCTATTTGTGTCTCCCCCACTTGCCCACCTGGCAAACTTCTACTCATTCTTCGCAAACCAGGTCACCTCGCCTCTTCCTCCAGCAGGGAAGTTAATCATTCCCTCCTTTGTGCCATCCTGGACCTCCTGCAGTACGGGTCTTATCTCATTCTAGAAGGTTTGTGCAGTAGACTGATATCTCCTCACAGATAGGGACTGTGTTTTCATCTCTGATCCCCTAGCGCCTACCACTGCACCCCACGCCAGCGATGCTCTACGGCTTCCACGGAGCTTCCACGTGCATTAACCATTCCAACTGTGGATAGAATGTTAGGATGCTCTTGCTTACGCCAGGACAGACTTTCCCTCCTGGGATAATTTGATTTGTAGCTGGTGATCTCTCTCATTCAACAAAGAGCTCCCTGAGAGAGAAATGCTAGTTCTTTGCCCTCCTCCGGTCCTAACCCTGTTTACACAAAAGTCACCTTCAGTAAATGCAACTTCAGTTGTTACTGTCCCGACACTTCCTATATTCAAGGAAGCACCCTGATAACCCCATTAGGTCTTTCTGGTGCTTTCTGACCCATGTATCTTCAGGGAACCAGGCAGTCCAATTTGTTTAATGCTATGTGATCTGCTGCACCCACACCACATTTTATGGCCTCAATTCCATTTATTATAGACATTGTGATATGGCTCTGTTTTTCTGAAAAACAGGTCACCTCTTACTCTAGTTATCTAGCCATCAGCCCTCTCCTAGCCAACAAGGGTGGGGACTTTTTACATCTCTTTTCTCGTAATGGATAATAGTGCCTCCTGGAATAAGAATCAAAAACCTTAATAGGGCTTCCCTGGTGGCGCAGTGGTTGAGAGTCCGCCTGCCGATGCAGGGGACGCGGGTCCGTGCCCCGGTCCGGGAAGATCCCACATGCCGCGGAGCGGCTGGGCCCGTGAGCCATGGCCGCTGAGCCTGCGCGTCCGGAGCCTGGGCTCCACAACGGGAGAGGCCACAGCAGTGAGAGGCCCGCGTACAGCACAAAAAAAAAAAAAAAAAAAAAAAAAAACCTTAATAATGTTCATAGCCTTTGACCCAGCAAGTTCCACTTCTAGCAGGTAACCCTAGGAAAATGGCCAAAGATTTGCACAAAGGAAGGTTACAGAGGCACTCTTTATATGCAACAGGGAAGACCTCACTAGGGAACTCGGTACAATCTCTCCAAAGCAAACATGGGGGACATGGTTGGCCACAGAACGTCAACAGGCCTGAACCTAATGTAGTAGTGAAGTGGAGAAATGGTGAACTCTCTGCTCACCCAGCACTAACAGGGTCTGAGGCACCCCATGTCCTGAGGGGCTTAGGGATAGGCCAGACCCTGCAACAGCCTCTTGCCTCTCTAGACTTGGGGACGTCTCCCAAGCAGAAGCCCTCCAGTTCCCTGGTCTCCCAGCTATCTCCAAGTCCTACCTGGGAAATGTCTTGTTCGAGTATATCTCACAGGTTAAAGCCTAAAAGGATGGGTGGTCCATCCCTCCCAATCTGTAAGTGTCCCCATACCCTGCCACATTACGAGTTACCACTCAACTCTCTCTGATCCTTGGAGAGCCAGAAGTGTCCTTTCCTAAGTTTTTATTAGGAGTTTCCCTCTGCTGTCTCTCTGCCAGGCCTGGTTTTAAATGAACACAGAGAGCCCTTTCACCTCTCTCCCAGAGCAGTAAGTTAGTCCAGTGCATCATATTGTTTACTGGTCAGATTCTTTGGGTTGCAAGTAACAAAAACACACTCAAACAAATTTCAACCAAAACAAGAAAGAAGAAAGGAAGGAAGAGAGGGGGAACAGGAACAGAGGGAGGGAGGGAGGGCGAGACAGTAAAGGAAAGGAAAAAATGGAAAAGAAAAGGAGAAAAAGAGAAAGCGGAAGAAGGGAGAAATCTAGGAATAAACGCCTTCAGATATAGCAGGATCCAGGAGTACAAAATATAACGTTAGGGTCCTCTCGTGCTTTACCTTTATTCTTTGCTTTCTCAGTGTTGTCTTCATGCTCAGGCTGACTCTCCTTCCTCATGTAATAGCAAAGATGGCCATTAGCTGCTCTGAACTTACGTCACCTTCCCAGCTAAGTATTCCATCAGTGGTCACGTGGGGTAGGGGATCAGAGGTGTGGGGCTGGGGGGAGGGGGTCATCTTTTTTGCTAGTTCCAGGAAATATCTCAGGAAAGGCTCTGAGTAGCCTGGCTTGGGTAATGTGCTAAACCCTAAACTAATCACGGTGGCCAGAGGATCTTTGCACATACGTATGATATACATAAATATACATATTTATATTAATTTCTGAGCCTGCTTGGACAGCAAGGTGCAAAGGGGTCAACTTGGCAGCATCCCGGACTTCAGAATTCACGTTAGCCTAGACACTGATCGGGAACAGCACACTTTCTGAACTGCCACGTGAAGAAAATTCCGGCCCTTGCTATCCACCTGCTCAGCAGCCCCGGACTCTCGTTTCAGGATGGGCTTGGCCACCTTGTTGTTCTTGTAGGTCTTGGCACAGGCAAAGGGGGTCAGGCCCTGCCTGTGTCGGACGTGCAGGCGGATGCCAGGGTGGGAAATCAGCAGCTGAATGACGACGCCACGTTGGTTGCTCATGGCCACGTGGACAGGCGCTCTTCCTTCTGCATCCTGTGCATTTACAGTGGCACCAAACTCCAGAAGACACTGTATCGTCTCTCCCAGCCCCCAGGAGGCTGCCAAATGCAAGGGGGTCTGCCCATCTCTGGCCTCTTCCTCTCCTTCTCCATCAGCACCACGCTGTCTGGGACTATTCACATCGCAGCCACTGCGAATAAGAAAGCAGACGATGGACTCGTTTGTTTTCATCAACGGCTCTGTGCAGCAGTGTCCGAAGGCACCCACTAGGTCCTGGGCCCCAGCACGTGGCATCACAACCACGCCTGACCAGAGTGGATGTGATGTCCCCCAGATTATGAGCCAGTGCGAGCCACGGTGGGGCGTTCCCCTGCTCATCTGGCCCAGACGTGCCAGCTCCTCGCGTGCGTGTGGCAGCCACGACAAGGGGAAGCTGATTTCTGACGTCCAGCTGAAGAGCCGTCTCCCCAGCCTGAGTCCTGACGTTTATGTCCGCCTGGTGCTCCAGGAGAAAGAGCACGCTCTTGCCGTCCTGCCGCTGCATGGCCGTGTGCAGCAAGGTCTGCCCGTCTGACATGGTGTCGTGGATGCAAGCCCCGGAGCCCAGCAGCTGGGCTGCGGTTGTGTGCGTGCCAGTCCCTAATGCCAGGCCCAGCACGGTGTGGTCTCGGGAATCCTTGAGGCTGAAGGCTGGAATAATTTGCAGGTTGTTGGTGGCATGAAGAGCATTAGCTTTTTGTTCCAGGATGACAGACACCACATCTGGATGATTACAGGCAATCGTCACGTGCAGTGGTGTCCGCAGGTAGACGCTGCTGTCCGCTGAGCTGGGCGAGGATGCAGGTTCCTTTGGTCAAGGCAGGGCCCTCCTCCGTCTGTAGGTCCACCCTTGATACTGGGGAGTGAGGTGGGCCTCATCTGAACTCCATGGACTGAGAATCAAAGGTGGTTCCCTGAAAACATGCTAGACAAAGAAGAAAGAAGGTCCTTTGCACTTGACCGGTCCTGTCCCAGTCTCCGTCTGTCCCCATACATAGTCAAGCTCCCCAGGCTCTCCTGCATTTGGTCAGGAGTCAGCCTCACAGACTGACAAGTTCATGCTCAGTAGGCAGTTCGGGTCGTAAGTAGTCATCAGTCTCCTCCACGCAGCTCCTGACATCAGATCTGCGTCTACTCTTACAGCAAACAGCAAGAGTGGCGAAGCAGGCGGATTCCTAGAGTTTGCCCCCGAGTCTGGTTTCACCCTGAGTGAAGCCCCTTCCCTTGCCTCTGAGGCAGAGATCACTGAGGCAGGCTGTGGACAGAGATGGGAACTCCAAGACCGCTCCGGGTGGCCGTGTAGCTTGCACCCGGCTCACGCTTCGCTTGCCAAGCCACGCCCTGACACAGGTCTGCGCCTGCCCAGAGGAAGGCGGGCCTGCTCACAACTCATAAGGCTCTTTACGGACTAACAGCTGCCTACCTGCAGCACAGGGACAGATAAGGGGAGACAGACTGCCCCAAGGCTGATCCAGGAAGCATTTCAAGGCTTGCAGTTTAGACCCGGGTCACCTGGCTTGAGTAACAGAATGATTGCCTTACGAGGTATTTTTGTTGTTTCTGGGTGTGCCGTGCCCGGGGTCCAAAGGCGGCCAACCTGCAGTTCTGCACTCCTCCATTCTGGCAGACGTCTTCCTGCCCGCTGGCTGCCAACGTCACCAAACTCTGAGGGATGCTTCTCTGGGCACTGACACAAGAGGCCATGGGGAGCCACCTGGATGTACCCTGGTCTCATTTCTATCCCTTGGACTGCTTTCAGCTCCTTGGGGAATAAACCAACACGAAAGAACTCTGAACTGGATCCAACTGGTCATCCTTGCCCAGCCACAAACCCAGACCAAACTCCACAGTCAGCCAAGCTCATCAAAAAGCTGTGTGGCTCCTGCCCAAATGCTGAAAACAAGCACGTGAGGCTTTCTGGAGGAGTTATGGGCACATACCAGGAAAGCCATTCATTATATTCTGAGCACATTACAAGTGATTTACATACATTATCTCACCAAATTCCACAACAGACCCACCTCAATATCTTCTTTTTAAAAAGAGAAAACTGAGGTTGAACAATTTGCCCACGGTTACAGAACTGCCAGCTAACTGAGGGACCCCATGCCGTCACTCTCCAAGTCTTTCCTTTGCTTGGGGGGAGTTCTATCAGGGCTTCCCACCCCATATACTGAGATGTGCCTCCCCCATAGCATCTGACTGTGGGGTAACCCTGTGAAGAATGGGCGAGGTGACCTGGCACCTCCAGAACGTTCCCTGGGCTCCTCCTCTCTGGTCCCGAAGGCAAGAGGTGCATGAGTCCCAGCTCCAGTGTTTCCCTCCTCTGAGAGGGCTCAGAGGAGCTGCTCACGTGGGCAGCAGGCTAAGGCTCCCATTCAGACGTGGCTTCCTCGCCAGGGAGTTAAAAGATGAGGGTCATATCAGCTCTGAGGTTCTCTGACTCCCCAGGTAGGATTGTTTCCACTGTTGTGCTCCAGGTTCTATAGAAAATTCTAGTTTTTGTACACTCAAAGCAAAATCTGAATGTCCTTAGAGGAGGTCTGGGTCGCTTTGGACTGGTGCCCCCTATCCTTCCCTTGGCTCCAGAACAGCCCACTGAGTTATCTCACATAACAGATACCAGGATAGGATGGTCCCCATGAGCAGTATAAGCTCCAGCTCAGTGGTGTCAGTGGTGGGGACTTCCCTGGTGGTCCAGTGGCTAAGACTGCGCTCCAGTGCAGAGGGCCAGGTTCGATCCCTAGTCAGGGAACTAGATCCCACATGCCGCAACTAAGAGTTCGCATGCCACAACTAAAGGTCCACATATCGCAACTAAAGATCCTACATGTAGCAATGAAGATCCTGCACGTGGCAATGAAGATCTCACACGCGGCAACAAACATCCCACGTGCCGCAACTAAGACCCAGCGCAGCCAAATAAATAAACATTAAAAAAAAAAAAAAAAACCAGTGTCAGTGGTGGCCCAGGTTCTGTCATCCCTTTGCTCCACCTTGTCACTGTGTGGGCTTTGTTCTCAGATAGGCTTTTAAGAGGCTGTCTTATTCTTGTATCTGTTTCATTCAAAGGAATGGAAAGCTTTCCCGCAGGCCCCCAGTAGACACACTTCTTTGCCCATCACTGGCAAGGAGATCACCATATTGAGCTAATGGCCAAGGGACCAAAAATGCCAGGAGGTCAAATACCCTGACCACTACCGCCTTCAAATTCAGCACCTGGGGCTTCCCTGGTGGCACAGTGGTTAAGAATCCGCCTGTCAACGCAGGGGACACGGGTTCAAGCCCTGGTCCTGGAAGATCCCACATGCCACGGAGCAACTAAGCCCGTGTGCCACAACTACTGAGCCTGCGCTTTAGAGCCCACGAGCCACAACTACTGAGGCCCGCGCCCCTAGAGCCCGTGCTCCGCGACGAGACAAGCCCCGGCAACGAGAAGCCCGCGCACCGCAACAAAGAGTCAATGCAGCCAAAAATAAATAAATAAAATGAATTAATTAAAAAAAAAATTCAGCACCTGTGGGCTCCTCAGGGTACTGAACGCCAGGACAGGATAACACATTACAGAGCCCATCAGTGTCCTAAGTCTGTCTCCAGCTCCCCACAGTGGGCTCCTCCTTCTATTCGCAAGGCATCCTTGTTTTGTACCTGGTAAGTCACTTGGTAGTTTGGCAAGCCTGGTATAGTTTTCCGTAAACCTCGCGTAACTGCTGAACCCCATGATATCTTAAGTCTTGATAATTAGTAAGTGGAGCCAATTACCTTTTCAAAGTTTAAGCTCATCCCTCGTTATGACAATGTAATGCTGTCCCATCTTACTGCAGCCTGGAGGACTGTACTTATATCAAGGCACCACTTCAGGTCTGTCTTTTCCTGGTAGTGTAAGATATAAAGGAGTTCATTCATGCTCCTCTGAGGTCCTGTTGAAAAAAATTATGTGATATAAATAAACTAGATAATCCACATCTCCAGTCATCTTTTCCATGGAGTGGATAAAGGGATCAGAGATGTCCTGGGGCATCCCTTCAAATTGATAAAATTCCATGAGTAAGTAAGAATGTGGGTTTTTTCCTCACCAACTATAGGTGTTTCTTAGTACCACTCCTCACCCAATACCACCAACTCCCTGTCTGGCAGTGGGTCCCATCTGTGAGAAGACCTGTACCCATTCCCATGTGCTGGACTGTTTTTTCCCACTACTACATGGTGGGTGGGCTGAGGTTGTAGGTCTTGCTGATAATTAGCAGCTCTTTAAAGAGCCATAAATCCATGATTTCAAACAATAGAATCTATCTTAATCTGCTCTCAGCAAACACAACTCACATTCCATTCGTGGAGAAAGAAAAGGTAGCTTAGGGCTTCACCTTCAGTCTCTCCTCCTGGTCACTGGCTGTTTAAAAATCCCCAAGATCAAAGCCCTCTGGATCTATGCAGATCCAGGTCAAACAAACCCAGGAGACGGCAGAGGAGCAGTCCTTGGTTCTGTGTGGCCTCTGCCCACTCTACCCACCACACCTGTGGGGAAGGACCACTCTGTACTTACATGCTACTTTTGGAGGGTGCCAACTTATTTTTTTTTTTTTTTTTTTTGAGAGTGCCAACATTTTTTAAAGGCTGGATTTAAAATCAGACAGAGATTCAACCCAGGTCTCACTCCAAAACCGTTTTCACTTTGCCAAAATCCTATGCTGTTCATAGGTCTGTCTGCCTAGAAAACCCAAGAGAGTCCACTGGAAATCTATCAGAGGCACAAAGAGCGCTCAGTAAGTTAATTGCTTTTAAAATAACTTTAACCACTTCAGACAATATAATGAAAAAAGTTGGACTTCCCTGGTGGTCCAGTGGTTAAGACTCCAGGCTTCCACTGCAGGGGGCACGGTTCGATCCCTGGTCAGGGAAGTTCCACATGCCACATGGTGTGGCCAAAAAAAAAAAAGAAAAGAAAAAAGCTACTATTTAAGGTACTTGCTAAATCAGGGTGACTCCTTCTCTGGGCTATGTTTCTAGAAAGAATCAAAAGAAATTGCTAACAGTGGCTGCTTCTGGGGAGGAAAACTAGGTGACCAGGGACAGGAGTAGTTCACTATACTTATGAACTTTTGATCATTGTGCCATACGCATGTTACCTATTGAAAATAAATAAATAAGATTCCATGGAAATTAAGAAGCAGTGAGGCAAAAACTTCAGGACACTAAGGGGACATTAAAAATCAGGACATTAGACCTGCCATTGAGTTATTCCATCACCTCTCCTTTACTGTCAATCTGAAACAATATTAAACAACACTCCAGTGCCATCATATATATTTCAACCTTCTGTAAGGAAATGTATCGTCTGTTCAAATACTTAAGAAGATAGGAACCTCCTCTCTTATTTTTTAGGGATAGATAACAGAGGTTTTGCAGTTAGCTGGGGGAGAGTTTGCTCTGGTGGAGAGTTTATTCTTATATTTTTGTCAGGTTGAGATACGATTACCTTTGTTTCAGAAGGTTCAATGTGCATATCTCTTTCTTTTTTAAAAAAAGTTATTAAACAATAATATACCATCGGGCTTCCCTGGTGGCGCAGTGGTTGAGAGTCCGCCTGCCGATGCAGGGGACATGGGTTCGTGCCCCGGTCCGGGAAGGTCCCACATGCCACGGAGCGGCTGGGCCCGTGAGCCATGGCCGCTGAGCCTGTGCATCCGGAGACTGTGCTCCGCAGCGGGAGAGGCCACAACAGTGAGAGGCCCGCATACCATCAAAAATTAAATAAATAATATATCATCATTTTCAGCAGAAAGAGTTCTCATAGCAAAATCTTGCAAGCATGTAGATGTTCTTCACAATTATTAAATTTCTCTTTTTTTTAAAAAAGTACACACAGATCCTGGGTATCTTGAGTGTTTTTAAGAAGAAAATCGTGTGTAATTTAAGTAGAAGTGTCCTTAGTCATAATGCACCTATCCCATGTTTCCCAAGAGAGTAAACAATTATTCATTGTATGATATAAGGAAGCTTCAGTTATATAAAAGAAAAATGGGGGAATTACCTGGTGGTCCAGTGGTTAGCACTCTGTTCTTTCACTGATGAGGGGCTGGGTTCGATCCCTGGTTGGGGAACTAAGATCCCGCAAACTGTGCAGCGAGGCCAAAAACAATTAATAGAAAAAAAGCATGGACATGGGGTCCACATCTTTTCTTTTACCTCAGGCTCCAATATGGCTCAGCAGAGCACTACTCTTTGTTTTAAATTGTTCATATTTTGTTCATCATCGATATCTTTTGCACTAATTTTGATGTTTTTAAATATTACATTATATACTACTTGATTACTGAGTTTTTGGTGCCCCCTTCAATTTTAAACCCAAAGCACTTGCCTCGTTTTAGAGTCCTGGCTCTGCCCTGTCCTAATCCTTTTTACGTCTATCAACCTCCCTTCCTAGGTTAAGGGTGTCCTGAGGAGAAGGAAGTAGATTGTTTACTTTCGTGTCTCTGGTCCTACTCAATACCTAGCACAGAGCTAAAGCATGGTGGGCTAACATGGCATTGTTGAAGGTAGGAAGGGAAGAAGGACAACAGCTAGTGATAATGACTGACACCCTAACATTTATTGTGTGCTTATTGTATGCCAGGCACTGGGTTAAACATTTTACTTATTTAATGTAACAACTCAACAGTAAAAATAATATTATACCTTTTTACGGATGAGGAAGTTGAGGCCCGCAGAGCAGAGTGAACTGTGATGCATGAGTGATTACGGCAGAACTTGGAACAGCTCTGCTTGGGCTCCTAGAACATTTCTCGCTTTGATGGTTTCTCTTCAGAGCACGGGAATGAGATGAGAAAGAGGAAGGGGGAAATAGGGGGAGAAAAGAGATAAACGGATGTAACAGAGGACCTGAACTATGCCATTTTCGCATCAGTTCTTAGCTCCACCTGCACAACCACCCCTAAGGCATCATTAGTCCTTACAGATAAGAAACTGAGACTAAAGATGTTCAAGGGACGTGTTACGTTCCTTCCGCTGGTCAGGCACCTGCAGAGGGTGGGGGAGGGGTACAGTGTGGGGCAGGGTGGGTGGGCCTGCCTTCCCCCCTGACCTCCCTGGGGTGCTCGTGGCAGCTTCTCGGTCAAACTTTCCCTCCCAAGTGAAGCCAGCACCTCCTCCTGGTGGTCAGGTCTCCTTCATTCTGCCCCAGCCGGAGGTGGGCATCCCGTCGCCAGGACCAAGGCTGATGTCAATAGCCTCCCAGAGCGGTTCTTGTCTCGCTTGCTTCCACCGATCTGCTCCCCACCACACTTCCTGCCTTTCTGGGGGAAAACCCCTGAAGTACACTGCTGTGAAAAGCGAAACTTCAGAACACCCAAAAACAGAAATTAAAATGGCAAGAAATAAGAATAAGATTCTGAGAAAAGAAAAAGAAAGAAAGAAAGAAAGAAATTCACAGGACTTCTTGAGGAGTGCGGAATCCAAGCCTGCCCTGCAGAAGAGTTTAATGACGGGAAGTTTCGGTCATGAGTAGGCACAGATGACTTCCAGAGAGGAGTGAGTGAAATGTATCTTTCACTGTATACCTTTTGCTAGTGCTTGAATTTTTTTTAACCAGGTGCCTTTATAATGTTTTCAATTAAAGAAAACTATTTTTTAAGTGGCCTGCCATGCAGTCATTCTGTGTGGCTCGCCTCCAGTCCTTCCTGCGAGGACAGAACAGCTCAGTCATGGGACTTCCCTGGTGGCGCAGTGGTTAAGAATCTGCCTGCCAAAGCAGGGGACACGGGTTCGAGCTCTGGTCCAGGAAGATCCCACAGGCTGCGGAACAACTAAGGCCGTGCGCCACAACTACTGAGCCCACGTGTTACAACTACTGAAGCCCGCGCACCTAAAGCCCATGCTCCACAACAAAGACAAGCCACCTCAATGAGAAGCCCGTGCACCACAACCAAGAGGGGCCCCTGCTCACCACAGCTAGAGAAAGCCTGTGTGCAACAACAAGGAACCAACGCAGCCAAAAATTAATTAATTAATTGTTTTAAAAAAGAACAGCTCAGTCAGTGTGGTCACACATCCTGTGGACTACATGCACCTCCAAATCAGGCAGCTCATTGTTCTGAGGACTCAAAGTCATGTTTAAAATCAGAGTCAGGTAAAGTAAAACTGAATGAGTAATTTGCTTCCAGAATGTGGAACACACAACACAGACCCATGCTGCTTCCTTGGGCATCAGCCTCTCAGGGACTCCGGGGTGGGGTTAGCCGTCATGACTCTGTCCTGGGGAAGAACTGAGGCTGTGAGTCCAGACGAGCCCATCACCCTCAGGTCAGGCTGGGTCCTGACTAAGGCTCAAGGGTCAGATCAGGATCAAGAGGAAGGGTGGTGCAAAGACTAGAGGGTCAGACGCGCACAGGAGTGTCGAGCCCCCGGAAAGAGAGAAATGAAGGGCAGCATCCCACAGTCTTCAACAGGAAATGCCCTTATTCTGAGAAAAATAGCTGTGGAATCAGGCAAGTGACAAGGGTGGCAGCTGGAGCAGTGGGAACGAGAATGAACCCTGAGGGTCTGTAAAGGAACCAAAACGGATGATCAAGGCAAACTCTGTAGAAAGTCTCTGTTTAGGGATTAAACCTCAGACAGAGTCTCTAATGTGAAAGGAAGGGAGTTGGGGGGGTGGGGGTGGAGGGGGGGATTACTCAGCTGCTTGGTGTTAGGGGAGGAGATAGGTGACCAAGCTGAGAGTGAGTGGGTGCCTCCATTTTCTACCCCTTTGGGAATGTCCATCCTTCACCTGCTTCCCGATCTAGTGTGGCTAGGCAAGATCTTCTTCTCCATGCCCCACTGGCCTCCTCTCTCCAGAATCCATCACTGGAATAACTCTGGCCTCCTTCTGAATAGCTCAATTCTACCCTGGGGTCCCAGATTAGAAAACAAGGTTACTTCTCTCCATCCAACTGTTAATCCCCAGTAGTTTCCCCTGCCCTTCCCAGTTCATGTCACAACTGCCTTCTTGCTCAGATCTACCCACCCACGCCCCTGCTCCCAGGTCTTACAGACTTAGAAACACAAACGCCTTTAAATATCAAAACAGAAGAAAACCAGAATTGGTGGTCGAACTTTCTACGCCAGAAAATTTCCAAATTATCGGCTATTTGGAGAGGTCCTTCTCTATTACTGAGACAAGGACCCAAAAGGTTACATCACAGAACCTTAGAGCTGGATTGAACCGGTGAGCCGCCCGAGGGGGATGATTCAGAGCGTGGCTGTAGGAACTGAACTTACTTATTTGGATTCTGTCTCTACTCGTTCAGTGGTTCTCAAAGTGGAGTATGCACCAGAATCACCCGGAGGGCTTTTAAAGATAAAATTGCTGGGCCCCATCCCCAGAGTTTCGGATTATTTAGGTCTGGGGTGGGGCCCAAGAATCTTCATTTCTCACAAATTATCCGATGACGCTGACGCTGCTGGTCAAGGAACCACACTTTTGAGGAGCACTTGCTAGCTGTGTTATCAGCCGCCTCCCATGTATATTCCGGACAATAATCGTAGGTATTTGCTAGGGCTGGGATTTACCTCAGACCTGGCACAGGAAGGCTTTTTTTAGCATTGTTCGGGGCACACAGCAAATTCCCTGCTTTCACTGTTGGATGGAGGGGAGGAGTCATTTGCTAGGGACCACCCCGGCGATGAGAAGCAAACCTGGGACGGAGCCCAGGGGCGCCTCTCTGCCCGGCTCTGAGCGCTCCGGCAGCGCAGCCCCTCAGGCAGCGCAGCCCCTCAGGCAGCGCAGCCCCTCAGCCCGCGCGCCACACGCTGCGGTTCCATAAACAAGCTGCTTCCGCCGCCGGCGGCTCGGCTAATGCCTCTCGTCTCTGGGGTGGCTAGAACCCTCCAATCTTTACCGGCGCTGAGAACCTGGCCACGGAGGCTGCCCCCCGGGGTTTGCTGAGATCCGGAGAAGCTGGAGCAGCCGGGCTCCCAGCAGCGGCGGCGGCGGCGGGCTGGGTGCAGAAGGCCGGGGGCGACCTCGGGGCAGCCGGGCGTTCCGCGGCGCGCTGCAGCGCTCGGGGGCGCGGCGGATGGCCGCCTGCACCTGGCCCGGGAGAGGCGGGGAGGACGCGCCCCAGCGGCAGTGCAGGGCCCGCCCCGGCCCCGCCCTCCAGGACTTCCCGTCGGGAAACCCGCGACCTGCACGGCCGCGCGGCTGTGGCTCTTCCTGGGCGCGACAGGTAAGCGGCAGAAGCAGCCCACGACCCTCCCCTGGACTTGGAACCCAGAGCTCTCCTGCTTCTCGCGACTTCCCGCCAGTCGAGCTCGCTTCTGCCAAGTCCTTGCTCACCACCTCCCCCCTCCGCCCACCTTCTACTCCTCCTGTTCTTCCTCGCCACCCCCCGACAGTAAAATGAAGGGGCAGGACCGGGCTGGTCCATCTGTCGTGGTGGCCTCTAGCTCCTCCCTCGGTAGGACCCCCTCTACCTTTGCGCCTTCCTGAAAGGACGAAAGAAAAGCTCAGGTCTCTGGGACCTGGAGGGGTAGGATGAAGAGGGACTAGACAGCGCACTCTCTCGGGACCCTGTGGCCTCTGCCCTTCACCCACCCATCCCCCCGCACCCCTTCTGTGCCCCATCTCCCCACGTTGGGCCACCCCCTGTTCTCCGCTACAGAAAATCTTTCAGAGAGGTTTCCTCCCGCCGGTGCCACGCTGCTCCTGAGCGTGGGCCAGCGGTGAGAAGCCTCCCGGTGGGCGTAGGGCCTCAGATGTTCTTCCTCTGGAGGCTTGGGCCTTTGAGGGGCGGGAGCTGTGTACACGGTATTGTGGGGAGGGAGTCTGATGGGTGTTCATGATTGTGACTGTCACCAACTTCCTGATTCCCCGTCACTTGTTCCAAACCCCAGGCTAACCGAAAGGAGAAATAGTTTGTTACTTGTCCCCAGAGCCAGTCATCCCAGACCCTGTCATCCCAGACCCCGACCTTGGCAGCGGGTAGGACAGGGCTCTCCTGTGTGTATGGGGGTGGAGGGAGGGTGTCAATTTGCCAGCAAAGTGCAGAACAGACCCCGCTATTAGCCAACCACCCATTGCAACATTCACAGGGAGGATTTTAATGCTGCCCTCTCAGTGCACTGCCAGACCCACAAATGCAGTTTACAGACACTGCATGAAGTTAACAACTCTGGACACACCAAGGAACCTGGGGCTCATTTTGCCAGAGATGTGTGTGCACTACCCCTGCCTCATTCTCCTCTCCCACGATGAGCTGTGTCTCTGCCCATCACAGGAAGGGTGAAAAGATTAGACAGGCAAATGCGTGTGATAATACAAGCTAATGTGAGGGGTTTGAAATATACTTTAGTTCAAATTATCCAGCAGAAGCCAGTATCATTGCAGGTGCTTCCCTAGCTCCTGTTTCTCAACAATGACATTCACTTTAGGCGCCCAGAGGTAACAAGAGAAAACTACTTTCAGGGGCACCAGGGCAGTAAGCAGGGCAGGTCTGTCAAAGGAACCATGAAGGATACTGGGCTGCCTGAGATGGCCTCATCCTTGGTAATCACTAACCACAGTTAGCAGAACAGCTGATTCCTACCCACAGCAGAACGGAAGAACTCACACCTGAAAAGGGGAAGTCCTGAGGAATGTCAAATGCCCTCTGAGATCAAAAACATCTTAGTCCAAATTCAGTTGGGAGAAAACTGAACAGGAGATGTGACCATGGGCTTAGCCCATGTAGCCATTGTCTAGAACAGAAATTAGGAATCAGAGGGGCAGCTCACCCTAGGGCAGAGGCAGTGGGTATAATGGAGGCAGAGAGCTGGCTCAGCTCTGTCACCAATTTAGCTGTCTAGCCTTGGCCAGATCACATAAACACTCCCTGGGTGGGAGCGAATGACAAGGAGTGTATGAAAATGCTTTGGCAACGCTCCAAGTGCAACGCAGCACTTGGTGTCATGGTTAAGACAGTGGGCTTTGGAAAGACATGTGCTTGGGAGCAAATTCTGCCTCTGCCACTTCCTAGCTCTGTGACCTTGGTGAGGTTACTAAACCTCCCTGTGCTTCCGTTTCCGTATGTGTAAAATGGAAAAGACAACTGTTTGTTGATATGGTAAGTAGTAATATTAAAAATGGCGGTGGTATTGTCCTGAACCTCCTCTGGCTCCATGGATGTGTTCTGACATCTCCAGCCCTAGAAGTGAAGCTGAGCACCAAAGTGGCTTTCTGTGTACCAGAGGGACCCAGTGACTGTGCCAAAGATTTGGGCGAACCTGGCTCCTCCTACACCCCTCTGCCCCTCTCTGGGAAGGCCCAAAATGTCCTTCCTTTTGATGGGAATGAGAGTGAGGGTTTGAATAAATGGGAGGTCAAGTGCAGGGCACTGCCTGTCACTGTGTTGAGCTCAAAGCTGTAATTGTGCTGTGTAAAAGGCTTGCCCAGTGAACAAGGATGGGCTCAGTCTGGGGAGAAAAAGGACTGTTACAAGACTCTTTTGTGGCACCTGAGAGCCCTGGGAGGTCAGGTTATTCTCCTGTGCCCTGTGCAACCTGGTCCTGAGCCCTAGGTAGAGATTTGAAGAAAGGAGGAAACCCAATCCTCACCCTCAGCTCTGCATACGATAGAAAACAAAGAACAGACAGATCAGGGCAGTGGAATTAACAACCAAATACCTCAGGACAGAGGGATGCTGCAGGGATTAGAAAGCTGGGTGAACTGGTAGGGAAAAGCGTACAAGAGACAAAAGATTGGGGGCGAGGAGTTAAGGATTAGGAAGAAGAAAGAAAACAGAATCTATGTGGCGCAACATCTAGACTTGTTGGTTCTCCCTCCCCCCTAAAAATCTAGTGAGGAAGTCCCACGTGGGGAAACATGGGCAGTGAAACTTGGAAACAAATACACCCAGATACTGAGGGCAGTAAGATGCACCTTAGTCTAAGAAGGCTCCTCGGAGGAGGGGAGTTTCAGGTAAGAATTGAGAGAAAGGGAACATGGCTTGCTTAGCAAGAATATAAGGGAAACACTTTGAAGAGGAAAAGATAGACGGTGAGGGTGAGTAGCAAACAGGAAGCAGACTGCCCAGGCCATGTTTCTGCTACAATCAAATGGCACTAAAGCAATATGAATATGGCTCTTCTGATTGTGAAAGAGAGAGAGGCCTGAGGCAGAGGACGCTGGCAGGCAGCGTCTGCTGATTCTCCAGATATTGGGCGATAAGAGCACAGTCTCAGATGACGGTTTTGAAAAGTGGAGAGGAAGAGAAGGATCTGGGAGGCAGAAAATGAATCAGCAGGACTTGGGCATGGGCATGGAGTGAACCTGATGTTGAAAACTGTTTAGAAACTCCATGCCTGGGAGTAGAGCAGGGCCAAGAGTTGTTTCCAGGATCTCGACACTACTGGCAGCAGTGGGGAAACTGGGAAGGCTGGCTAGCTTAGGGGGCAGGGCACAGACACTGAGTTCAGGGTGTGGCACGTTGAGTATCCAGTGGCCCTAGGCAGAAGTCCTACTGCCAGGAGCACCCTGTGCGGTGAGGACAGAAGGGAAAACTTCGGTTCTGTCCTCACCATCACCTGCCCCCCAATCTGGAGACCAGCGCAAGCCTGCAGGAATACCCCTCCTGTTAAACTCCCCCACCCATTCCCCTTCCTCTGACAATCAAAGGATGATAAGACTCAATCCAAGTTCTTTTTTTTGCCTTCTCTCAAACCCAGCCTGATTGTCACCAGGGTTCCTGGATAATTAGGGAACCCAGCTCATACCCTCCTGGGGTCCTCCTTTATCCCTGGATTCCGAGGAGTCTCAAGGCTCAGTTTGAGATAGTTGCACATCCCTGCCTCACCTGGCAGGGCCTGGAGGTCCTCCATCCAGTAACAAAAACCTGTGAGCTGTTGAACTTCCTGCTTGGTCACATATTATTTTGATTTTCAGTGACTTTTACAAACTTGGAATAAATCAAGAAATATTTACTGAGCACCTACTATATGCCAAGCATATTCTAGGTGTACAGTGTGAGTAAAGTTGGGTTGGGTTTTTCAATGGAAAAATCTGTTTGGGTAACTAAAGCTTAAAATGCTATGCAAACAAAACATAAACCTGCATCTACCAGGGAGAAAACCTGACAGACTAGCTACTGAAATAACTTTCAGTGCATCTTTCTGGGAAAATAACCACGTACTGCAGCTTTAGTCTTGGGGGAAAGCTGAAGTGTCTTCAAAGTGTAATTATGGAGAAAAGTGAAAACCTCCCAGCATTCTGTAATTCAAAGGGTCAGAGGTGGGAGGAGGAGTTTGGACCAGATAGTTTGCTACTTTGTTCACAGCATGAGAACAGAGGAAGTGAAATGTAGGCAGGGTTTGATGTCCAGAAAGTGCTGGCAGGGAAGAAACGGAGAATCGTTTGTCCAAAACAGCCTCTTGGCTCCCTCCCCTCAACCAGTAGCTTGAAATTGACCTGTCGTCCCCCCACCCCCAGCGTGGTGTTAGCTCCTCCACACACATGCTCCCAGTGAGAGCGGC